GGAGTGCAGCACATCCAAATGTGCAACTCTCTGCCCTTGAATGTAGTCAAATCCTTTCCATTTCAACATGGGTGACCAAAAATCAGAACATCAACAGGTACTAATCAAGTACAAATGCGTGAAAATTACGTTAATTGCTTACATTCAACAGGACTAAAATGCGTGTATGTGATGTGCACAAACCGCATATGGCGGGAATTTTCTGTCGCAAATAATGGAAAAGCCTTTGTATCCAATGCCCGAAAAATTCCGAACAAAAACACTGATGGCTATTTTCCGAAACTGGGAATTTCTTCAAAATTCAGTAGCACATGGAAACATTCCGAGGTGAAGTTCCGCAGCACAAGACTTGTTTCATAAACCACAAAATGCGCCTATGAGTAAATGAATGGATCACGGTTGAAAAAAAGAAGCATCTGTAATATGATGGCTGCACAATTCAATTCCTTTGTCTGGGATCCAATGGACCCATGACAATCATCATGCTCACATCTGATTAAACAATTTTCAAAATTTCAGATGACCTCAAAATCCTTTTCTTTCTGTGAAAAGTTGGTGGAACTGTCTAAAAATTGCGTCTATATAACCTTCACTTGACATTCTTTCAATAAAAGGATAAATCTCAGAATCCTCCAGAGTGAAGCTAGGCTCTGCTCATTTGCCAAGAATGTCATTCCATTGACGCACCGATTTCCATAATTTCTTGCTCAGCAAGTGACATTTCACCGCCACCTAATCAAATTCATCGTCACCAACTCAAAACTGGCAAGATTTGAACGTACAGTACTTTACTGTACTGAATTATATTATTGAACCAATGGTGTCCAAAATCTAAATTATTGTTTTTTCTTTACTTTGAAAACCTGCTTCTTAAATATAAAACCTCATCATGCAACCGGGACTAGTGCAATTTTACAATAACACTGTGATGGGAGTGCAGCACATCCAAATGTGCAACTCTCTGCCCTTGAATGTAGTCAAATCCTTTCCATTTCAACATGGGTGACCAAAAATCGGAACATCAACAGGTACTAATCAAGTACCCATGCGTGTAAATTACATTAATTGCATACATTCGACAGGACTAAAATGAATGTATGTGATGTGCACAAACCGCATGTGGCGGGAATGTTCTGTCGCAAATAATGGAAAAGCCTTCGCATCGAATGCCCGAAAGATTCCGAACAAAAACACTGATGGATATTTGCCGAAACTGGGACTTTCTTCAAAAATTCAGTAGCACATGGAAACATTCCGAGGTGAAGTTCCGCAGCACAAGACTTGTTTCATAAACCACAAAATGCGCCTATGAGTAAATGAATGGATCACGGTTGAAAAAAAGAAGCATCTGTAATTACAATGATTCTCGCGACCAGAAGGCCCAGTTTATCTCGATATCTCTCTCATCGAAAGCTGGGACGATTTGAATATTTATAAAAAAATATCCAGAAAACATTTTGTTTTCAAAACTTGTCACAGGAACATGCAAAACCAAAAATATATAATTCAATTAAATCCAGCTAAAATGCATTTGTTTTTAGTCACAGAGAAATTCAGGGTGGAATCCTCAATTGAAAAATAATCGGAAATTAATGTCCGGGAACTGCAATATGTTAGAAAAGGGTTAGATTTTTATTTTAAAGTATTGTACTGTATAACGCTTCATTTTCGAAGCTTTCAGAAACAAGACAGTAAATATCACAGCAGTGATCATCCTGGACACGGATCCTCCCGACCACTGCGACTCCAACCGACGCGGCCCTCAGGAGAGCATTTGGCGAGAACGACCGGAGGCGCGCGGGTTCCCTGCTGGGCTGCATGCTACCCCGCACTCCTCCTCCTCCTCCAGCACCACCACCACCCCCGACGACGACGACGACGACGACGGCAACCCCCTTGCAAGAAGCTCACCGTGCTGGTGCTGGACAATAAAAAGCGCGGCCCGCGCGGACGAGGAAAGGGAACATGTATATACTGTACATGTAGGAGCATACACCAAGGATGGGGAAAGCACGCCTGCGTACACCAGACAGCTCGGCTGGATGAGCAGGCAGGCAGGCGTCTCTCCACGGCCATGGGGAACACGTGTATATATATATACCGTATATAAGGAGTCCATTGCTGAGGCTCTAAAAACCAGCATGTGTGGAGGGGAAGAGGTGGGATCCCTCATCCCGCACCGCAGCAGCTCCCGTCGTTTGCAACCCACCCCGCGCCCCGAAAGCCGCCCTTGGATTTTTCTGAACTAACCGCCCCGTCTTTTCTTCCTGCAAGTTCACGGGCTCTGCTTCTATATACTATATACAGTATACTACTGCTGATGCCACTCTGACAGGCCCAGCAAATGAATACGGGGCAACATATACACGTGGTCAGCAGGCGGGTGCGGCTTTGTGAGATTGTGGTAATTTACCCTGGCGTGACTGAGAAACCGCAGCGTGGGTACTGTAGGTATTGTACAGTACTTTGCTGTTATGTGTTTTCAACCCCACTCTTGCAGATTTATTTTCTGTGTCTTGCTTTCTTATCTTTGGCAGGAAATGAAGAAACAGAGTGAAGGAAGATATCATTTTGCGCTGTTATTTTAAGTTGTTTAAGTTTTGCCAAAATCAATCCAAACACCAACATCTTCTTTGTACAAATTTATGCATACAAAAATATTTTTACTACCTTCTGATGAGTTTCATTATTAGTATCTCCATTCCAACTCTTTATAGTGAAGTTTCAGTAAAAGAATGATATACACAGCAATTGGCTGGTGCACAACCAGTTGAATGAATTTTGCCCAAGCTTTGTTTTCTTGTCACACAATAAAATCTGTGCAACACTTTTTTGCAAGTAAAAAGATTTTGACACAAACATTTCACATTTTTCTGACACACACAATGTTCTTGGACCAAAAGCACAATTTCAAGTGTTGATTTTTACTCCTCAGGTTCCTTTCATATCTGCTTTTCTCTTAAGAGAACTATGGTGTGTATATACACAGTTCCGCAGGAAATGGCTGTTGCATTGTATATTCTTGATGCTGTTACCATTCATTTGTAAAATGTTGAAGTTGTACAGAATGAGTTGCATTTTCCTGCCAACCTTTTCAACAGGAACTTTGAAATTTGTTGGTTATCATGTTCTTTTCAAACTCTGCTGTTTTTTATTGCTTCCTTTGAGAGTACCAAATTTGGGCCATCTGGAGGTTGTACAATCTTCAAACCTTTGCCCCTTTGATGGGCTATTTGTCTTTCCTCAATATGGGGGTTGTTGCTTGGTCCTCTTTTTGCGCTTTAGCTATTCCTTGATGGCTTAATTGTCTCTATTTCATTTTGTGGGCCAATTAGCATTGGTGCGCCTTACTCAGATTTTGGTGTCAAATATACAGGGGGAATTTTTTGAGGTAAATCCCCACATTCTTTGCAGAATTATTTATTCTACCTCAATATTATCCATTAAGATACACTCTGTTGAGAACTAATCAACTCTATAGCTGGGGCAACGTGAAATGAAGTTACTTCTCTGATTTGCAGTAAGTGAAATAAGTCTATTTTGTAGATCAAATTATCTGCAGCAAATACCAGACCAACAATGAATACCAAAGATGTGCTAAGATACACCTTTATAGATTCAATGCAACAACAGGTGAATGACTGTGGATGAACCAGACCAAGTAAGAGGCAGCTGACAGCCAAATGCCATTACATACCGTGGTTTCCATGCGCATTCAATAAAAGTATATAGGAAGAAGCTTCACAGCAATGAAGTACTAAATTTTATTATACATATATTGTAGGACACTCATTCGAACCTTGCATGACAAACTCTCTGCAGACAAATTTGAAAAAGTTCCACCTTTTCAGAAGTGAGAAACCATACAGATATGTTTTTAGACAGGAGAGTAAAGTGAGTTTCCAAGTGCTGTATTGTTATTTTTGATAGCACTGGAATTGTCAATCAATGCATGTGACATGTCTGGGCATCAATGTAATTGATGAGGTTCCCATACGACAGCCACCCACCCAACAGTAGGAAACCACTAAAAACAAAAAGGAGGGATGCTGGGGAATATCAATTCACACACCCAGGAGGAAATAGGAATTCCTGTGCAAGTCCTCAGAAGTAATCTTCTGCAATTAGGCTCATTCTGTGTACTTTTCTGGAAGAGTGAGCATCTTAAAATCAAGTGAGTGTCTTGTGAAGGTGTTCCTGTTTAAATTTGTTAACCCTTTTGGGTCAGGGCAGGGCTGGTTTTAGTCAACTTGGCATTGAGTTTTCCCTCTTTATGAATACAAATACAAAAGATGTGCTCAGGCACACCTTCATAGATTCAACACAACAACAGGTGAATGACTGTGGATGAACCAAAATGGAACCATAAGATTAAGAGGCAGCTGACCACCAAATACCATTACATTACATACCATGGTTTCTATGCATGTGTGGTAAAAGTGTGTTGGAGGAAACTCCACAGCAAGGATGTATAATAAACATATTGTAGAAAACTCATTTAAACCTTGGATGACAATCTGAAGCTTTCAAATTTAATATCCGTTTAGTGCTTGAAGTTGGTTTTTCGTCACTAATGTGATTCTAATTTGGTGTTCAGGAAATTGGATCAATATTGTCATGACTAAAAGTGCCCATCACACTAAAACCTTTATCTGAATTGCAATTATTCTCAACAACTTAAAAATAAATTCATGAATTGCTTTTGACAAATACTGACGTTCTAGTCTTATTTGGATTTATATAACTTATCTTGGGTTTAAGACTATCAATGCCCAACATCAGAAACATTAGAATGTGAAGTAAAAGCTCCTGCATACGCACATGCTAGCCATGTCAACTATGATTACTGGAGCATATGAGGCAGCAACGGCCTCAGCAATCAATACACGGTATTCCAGATGTCGTTCCCGTCATAAAAAAAAAAAACCCTTAAGCGAACGCGAACATTTGTCGACTTATCTATAGCCAAACTAAAAAACTCCATTCAATAAAAAGACGAATCTATAAAAAGTATTCGTTGGTTCATCCACCAAAGCAGAATGAAAAATTGAAAACACTGTAAAAATGGAAGACCCGACGAACAAGCGAAAGAGGATCTTGTTAAAGAGAATTTCATTCCCGTTCAGAAGTCAGAAACATGCAGAACATTACGTGAAGTGAAAAATGCATGCCTTGCTAAGTTTCTCTTCGGCGACGTTGTTCCAAACATGTCGGAAATCGAACGCTTATTTCGTTTCTTCGACTTCGCAGCTTCTTCCTCAGTTTCGTCCCTGCATAGTACGAATCAAGGCATAAATGAGTTATCATATTCAGGGAAGGAAGCAACGGATTGCAGGTCAATCAGGAAGAAACATTCATACACAGGAAGAATTGCCACAACTAGACTATTAAAAAATTCGATTATTACCACGTGAATAGCACGGCTTCCTTCTCCAGCAAATCAGACGCTGTGGACCAAGCAAAACGAACCAGCGTCGGAAATCCAAATGTAGGGTCCATGTGGTCCCTCAGGAATTGTTTCGTTTTCGGATCTGAACAAAGTTTATAAATCATAACATTTTTGGATTTCTTCGAATCGAGAATGATTTTTCCGATAAAAATTCGATTTTTGGTCAAATTTACGATTTAATGATAGCCAATGCAGCAATAGTCCATTGTAACAATTTTTAGCCTAACTGTTGAGAGACTGCACAACGCAGGTGGTTTTACAGTAAGCCTTTCCAGCGCTCTGTCTAATAAGAGACGCACCTCCGGGATACCCACTGCCGTATTCCACTTTCTGCCAATCTGTTCCTTTTTCGCTGAACTGCCAGTCTTTCAACGCGATATCTCTGGCAACCTTAGCACAAATACTAGCAGCGCTAACAGTCGGGAACAAGCTGTCAGCTTTCTTGGAAACTTGCACTTGTATTCCGGGAAATAACTTGGACAATTTTTCTTGATATTTTTCTGGAGGCCCAACAGTATCGACGAACACCTGCTTCACTCTTACGCCAGCGTCAAGAGCAGCCTGAATTAGTCCTATCGCAGCATCATGAGACAGTGTGTTCAAGTTGCACTTCGATCTGAGAAAGAGCAAATTTTTAGTGAGCCGTATCTTAGGCAGATGCAGGCATAACATCAAGAGACGCGCATTCTCGGAAATAATCAAGAAACAACCGTTATGAACAGTTTAGATCCAAAACGCGGAAATATTCGCGACTTCAAACTCACGCTTACCTGGACAGCATTGCGTTACTTATAGTAATCGGCGAAAGAATATGAATACCCCAACCGACGAAACTAGAAGCATTGATACGTTCGAAGATTGCTTCTCGCTCTTCGAGCTTCAGTGTTTTCGAGTCAGCGACGTCCAGTGATTTCAGCTCCTCATCCTTATCTACTGGGCAATACGCAATCCCATACACCATAGGACCTGTAGAAACAATCGAACTTCTCTTTTTCAGGAACTCAACGAATTGAAAAATAGGCGAATAGAATGCAAATTTACCAAGAACAGGCCCTCTTCCGGCCTCATCAACACCGAGCATCACATCTTTCGATTTGCATTCATCCGGAACGTCAGATAAGTACTTCCAGTCGACCCAATTTTTCTTCGTGAATTCGGAAACATCCATTTTTTTTTAAGTATCGCTGCAAACAGAAGAGAGGGAGGCATCATCCTATTCGCTTTCAACTAGAATTAAGAATAGGACACATTCCCAAAAATTAATTTATTCCACGTAACAAGATGGTGTTCAACACAAAACACAACTATCAATAATCCAATGTTTTTGTCGTTTTCAACAATCGGTGGATAACAGATGGTAAAAACAAACATCGCGGCTCAAGTCGAAAATCGTTCGTGGCTTGAAACTCCATGCCTAGAATTCAGTGGACTTATCTTACCGGCAGAGCTCTCAGCAGATCGATCATAATAAAAATAAGATTCGGCACATCACACGAAAAAGCTTGCCTTGTGGAAGCCACGATAGGTCATGATCACTCTTCCTTTGCCGAATGAGACAACGTACAAGGATTCGAATACCTCCTCCAATGCTGAAAAAAACTTTGCGCAGCTCATCACTTTTGATCGTGAATAGAGAAAATTCAGAATGATTCTCACGGTAAAATTTCGGTTCAGTTCATTTTAAAATATAAGTGGCACAACCGCGAAATCACCCGAAGTGTCGGAGATCCCTTCATCCTGCGCAAGATCGTGAATGTTCAGAAAGAAGATGTCTCTCATTCAGAGGTTTTGGAGCAGATTCCACCCATCTGACTGACATACTGTTTTATGGGAGTTCTACCAGCTTTTTGCCGTACGACGCTAGAACTCATCGTGTCTTGAAAGATATTCTCCAAAATCAGTTGCTTGTGAGCCTACAAACAGATCGTAATTATCCAGCACCTCAGTTCTGGCTAACTTTCCATCAAAATCTATATCGGCTTCAGAAATAAGATGAACAGTCTCCGCTTCTGAATGATCATAATCAGGAGGGATTATCCAAGCCTTCACTTCAGTTTCATCGAGAAACCCATCACCGTTCTTGTCCCGCACTTGTCGGAATTGCTCGCGTTCCTGCGTTACCCATTCCGGCTCGGCTTCTCCGGCGTCACCATGATACATATCCGAGATGTATTCTTCTACGGTAATCTAAAGTTTAAAGAAAAATTACGGTACAGAACTTCAATAATATACGTGAACTGTACTGCAATATGTTTTTGCTTTGCATGCACATCAAAATTGATTGCATGCACATCTAATAACGGAGATGTTGCAGGCCATGAACTGACCTGCCCATCTTTGTCTTTGTCGATGTCTTCCATCGCTTCGAGGACGACGATATCTTGTAAGGCCTCCGATTCCTCAGGATGTAAAAAACTGGCAAATTCTTCTTCGCTCAGATTTCCATCGGCGTTGCTGTCAGCCTTTTCCCATCGCCTCTTGTCCTTACGCAGCATCTCCGCGTACGAGACTCCGTCATCTGCCTTCAATTCTTCTTCGGACATGCCTGTTCACAATACAGCGTTCCATTCCGAACTTTGAATTGAAGGAGTAGTAATTCGCTTACATACCATCAACGAAACCATACGAAATTTTCCTGTATTGGTCCCAGCTGATAGCTTCCCCGCCGTCTAGATTGTGAGATTTCCACTGACTTTTCACATCTTCATCAATATATCTGAAAGAGAATCTATTCAATTTCCATCCGCTTTGAAATGTACAGTATTCGCAGGTATCAAACCTATGTTGCGAGTGCTTAATCCAATTCTGGAGCTCAGCCTTATCGATGAACCCATCCGAGTCCACATCTACCTTGTCGAATAGCAAACTCAGTCTGGCTTTACTTTCTTCGGGACTAAGGTCGTGAAATTCTTTCGCCTCTTCTTCCCCGAGAAAAGCTTCATGGTCATACCGGGAATTATGTTCATCCCCGCGGAAATGCGATTCGTCGCTCAAGTTCTAAATTACACAAAAGAAACGGCATCCAAAAGGACCATAGAATGTTTCGAATGCATCAAAATAGACGATGTATGTTTCCATAACTCACTCTATCTATCACACGTTCCTTTGGCACCACGGGATCAATCGATAACAACAGAACCGCGAAGAGGAGCAGACCTGTACTCAGCCACTGCATATTCGGAGCAGCAGGATGTTATGAGATCTGCAAAATATTTATGGCATAAAGTTTAAACGTTTGAAGTATCGAAAAAGCTGGAAATGCATCAATAAGAATATAAACACGAAATTCGATTTGCGACAGCTTAGCCCTCCACGTCGCCAACCCCTTCCCCACGGATAGAGAAAGCACGCTTTCTTTTCGCACACAATGCCGGCTAGATGACGGGTTCCATCGTCGGAAGAGAATCTCAGATGCAAAGAGCTCAGCCAGCAGAAGGGTCAAACAATAATTTACCCTTTCACAGTACTGCATTCCGCTGTTACTGCTGTCAATATCTGTACAGTACTTTGATTACACTGGAACAGTTTCCAGCGACAGTCCCAGCAACTATTACTTTAGTATGGTCGATTATCATTTTCCAGTTTCCCCATTCAGAGAAATGTTACCAGCACTCCACTTCATCTTCCGAAACTTTCTGTAAGCCCACAACTCCTCAAGCATGCATTCTCGCCTTCATGACATTTGAACACTGATGATTTCTGGATGATTCAAGGGATCAAAAGTTCATTGAGCATAAATGATTGAACAATTGACTAAAGATAATATCCTGGTGATAAATAATGAATAGATTTTCTTGTGATTTTGATTCAACAAATAAATTACTTGATCCAAGTAAACACTCACATCCTTCATTTTTGACCTCATACATACATTTTCAATAATTTCATGTTACAGTAAGCCATACAATTCTTACTTTCATGGAGGTTCATCAATGAGAAAAGTAAGATCAAGATTACATTTGTGTGCCATCAGTACATGGTGTCTCATTAAGGTTTCCTACCGAATCAAGAACAGGAAGATGTGCTCTGCCGTTTTTTCAGATATTGCCAGGGGTGGCAGCTCACCAGCATGTTACCGTACCTCAGCCTGAAGTTCAAGAATTCTAGACAGTTGTGACTCAGTTGTCGAGCACTAAAACCCACCAATGAATCTTACATATTGCAGCGAAATCTATGACTTATGCATGACACACGATCGAAGTTGGTACGAAACTGTTGAATGGTTACACTTTGGTTGAAAATACAGCACCACTGTGGTGCACATGTAAGTGAAAAAACGAAGGCTGTAAAAAAGTCAGCAATGCAAACAACGCATCGCCACTTAGGATCTTTATCGTTGTCCGTACATCGACTAACCTAAACGTCCACTAACAAAAGCTTCCATAACATCGTCGCGAGCGAAAAAAACATGAATTCAGAAATTACGAAAAACCCTGTGTTCGCTCCATCACATATACTGTAGATGAAACATTTCTCACAATACAATCTACATATTTCCGGAACTTTCGCATTCGTCGCGGGACTTCTTCATACTCTTGAACATTCTATGACCTGAGTGATTTAAAAAAAAGTTCTTGCGCTACAATCAACGAGATTCTCCGTCTTCATCCGCATTCAGTTTTAGAGTGCTCTGGAATGCGATCCCAACGAGACTTCAGATTAATGCAATAGAAAATGTAACGTTCCTCAAACGCACTCCATCCTTGCCATTACGGAGAGCCCATGCACATTCGGAGCAGCATCGCGAGTAGAATACGACTTGGCAAACGTGCACCAGTAAAGAACTGGAAATCGTATCCACATAAAATACCTTCATCGTAAGCTGCCACCTCAGGACAAAAAATGCCATCAACAGAGATAACAAATCCACTAAAAAGCTGGCATTATAAAATGTCATCAGACGCCTCTCACTTTTCATCACCCCTTCGATGTTTCCGGTGCACTCTCGTCATCCCAGTACAACTATGAACTATTAACAGTAAATATTAACAAGGGGCAGTTCAGAAAAACAAAACAAAAAAGAGTTGATCCGCATCACAATTCCGCGTGAACTTTTGGTTCTTTCCATCTTGACTCTTCTTCGAGGTCATCAAAAAGGGGCCATTAGACAGGATTGGCAATGGCTTCTGCCTTCATGCCCAAGCGTGCTGCGTTCGCCTTCCCGGGGCTATTCCGCACCAAGTGATAGTAAAGCGTGCTATAGTCGATCCCCAACATCTCGGATCCCTTCTTGATCGAGATCTGCCTCGCGGAGATCATCGAACACACGTGTTGCACGTTTTCATTGGTCCAATCGATCGAGTGACGACGCCGCGGGGTCCGCATGGCACCGGGGATCACGCTCAAGGGGCGGCTAGGGCCAGCGCCCAACTTGACACGGCCGAGGTTCGGGTGCTTGCGGTACCCGTACAACTCGCGGTACTTGGCGTAAAGAACAGCATAGGACACACCAACCATCTCGGCAGCGTTTTTCATGTCAAGAGTGTTCTTCGAGATCATCTCCATGATGCGACGAGAAAACGGCTCGGCCCAGAAGCCCGACCGCGTGCCTCCCTGGTTCAAGTACTGGTCGAGTTTTACCACTCCGCTGATATTGTAATTTTGGCTCGGTGGCGGGCAGTCCGCTGCATCAACAAAACAAAAAATCGATTAACATCTCTATCAATCGCTCACGAATTTCATTTACGCAAGGCGCGCGAGTTTTTATGAGCTATGAAATTTCAAGGGAAACCACTTCGAATATATCGTTAAAATCCCGGCTTGATACAAATTTGGTTCACTAGAACTTTTTCATGGGAAGAACGTCACATAAACGGAAAAACGAAAACAAGTCTGATACTGTACATTAATTTCATAAAAATTAAGATGAAAATTGTAAAAACCGTTCTCGCCTGCATTTAAGATTCCTTGAAAAGAAAATGCATACGTGCTTGAACAGTTTTGTACTTGACGGGTTTGCTATTCCTCAGGACTCTTTCACAGCCCGAGCACAAAAAAATCAAGTTATTATACCTTACGAATGCTTATACAGTAAATGTAAAAGAAATAAATTCCACACAATGCTTAGCCAACCGAACAAAGCAATTCGTTATTCAATTCAATCATTTTTTCAATTCAAGAGTGTGGTATACTGCAAAATTTTGAACGCTGATCATAATACCATTGAAGGTTATATTCGAAATCATTAAAGAATAAGAAACTTACATGGACTAAGGCCAATAGACAAAGGATCACTCGTTGGTTGCCCATTTTCTGAGTCAAAACTGCCTTGACCTTCGCAAAAGCTGACCGAAGGAGTCAGCATGTCCATCATGTTCATGCCACCATTCACGCCACCAGCTTCAGAATTGCTTGTGGAAGCTTCAACATGCACATATCCTCCATCGTCCACGTGATTTTCTTCGTCGATTATCATAGCACCGTACTCCGAATCATGCGATGACACCGATCCTTCCCTCGTGCTGCTCTCGTTCTTGACGTCGTCTGGCAAAATAGCTTGCGGTTTCAAAACTTGAGTCAAACTTCCAGAGGATGCATTAGACGATTTCGGTCCATTTTCACTGACAACGTTGGGCTTAAGGATCTTGATCTGACCGGACCCGCCAGACTTTGAGGCATCGCCTTTCATGGCCGAATTCACGCCGGGTGGCGTAATTTCAGCGAGGCCCTTCACCTTCAACACATCGGCCGTGGCGAGGAGAGACTTCATGTCATTCTGGCCGACTCGCACTTCCCCGTAGTACATGAACTCCAGAATGGCACATAGGTCAGCATAAGGAGTGTCACGCAGGATAATCACCGGCTCTTTCTCGGATCCATAATTCGCCAAAATTTCTTCGAAGTATGAACTACATGCAGCCAAGATAATCTGCAAAATTCGTGAAGCTGTTAGAAATCTCTCGTTAATTAGCCGAAAAACGTTCGACTGCTGACCTTGTGGGCTTTTATGCATTTGCCTTCGCAGGCTAGCATGCAGTCCGTCAAAGCCTGCGATAACCACATGCTGGACAAAACGTGAGTCAAGTTCTTCTGATGATTGTTCCATGTTAAACAGAACTGTTGCTGGGAATCCATCGCGACGCGCGAAAACGGCTTAACAGCAGGTCTAGCTTTCTGAGGCAACTCACTCCGGTGACTCCTCACAAAAGCAAACTCATTCGGGCTAGAGTCGCCTCGCGTAAAAGTAGTCGATGCCTGGAGAATCAGAAAAACCGAATTTGTTACGCATAAATTCACAAATTCTACGAGATAAATCGATATTAAGCACTGCACTAAGAAACCATAAATGAAACTTACGAATAAAATGCGAAAACTGAAACTGGCAAATCAGGCGTTGCTACGAGCCTTTACAGAAATGCAATCTTCAACAGTTTTTCAAATACAAAATTTTATTTTAAAGCAGGTTTGGCGAATGCGGGAACCTTTCATTTTCTGCGGAAACGATTCATCCAAAGTTGTTAATATCCCATCATTTCAAAACTTGTTCATCCTCATTAATTACTTTGCAACAAAAAACTCGTTCAAGAGCGACCAGATAATCTTCCAACTTCTATCGAAAAACCTCGACTGTTCCAGTTGAAAGCAGCTTTGAGCAATGTTTCATTGAAACCTTCCCTTTAGGCATGCGATTAAAATAGCGCTCAAGGATTCTCCCATTACATTCAACCTTGATAAAACATGGGAAGAAGAGAAAGTTGGAGTAGGAGCAATCCTTCAAATGTTCAAAAGAAGTTCTCGAGTCACTCCGAGAAAGATTCAAACTTGAATTGTAAACCTGAAACGTTAAATTTTATTCATGTGATATATTTTATATTCTGTATCTCGAAAAAATATTCTCTCAAATAATGAATCGAGGTCAAGGTATACGCTCCCATATGTTTCAAGTTAGATCTAAATTCAATAACTGAGAAGCAAACTTACAAAACTTTCAGAAGATTTATACTGTAATCTGAAACTCGATTACTGTAGCTTCTTCAATTAGTGCTGAACACCAAGAACTAATTTCAACGCATCTTCACGAATGACATAGTTTCTCAATCGAAGTTTCCCCGAGGATTCTCTGCATCGATGTGTAAATCTTTTAACCTTCATACGAAGCATTGATTTTGATTAAATTAGCAGGGTCAAATCTGCCAACTTCCCAGTTATTACTCAATAAATGCGGGGACGAACAATGAAAGAGAGAAAGTTAAAAGAAATAGAGAAAAATTCTTGCAAAGAACCATATTTGTGAATCAAGATGAAAATGAATGACGGATTTTCATTCTTGAGAGGCTCAGTCATTCAAAATGGATGGTTTTGAATGATCATCAGTAAGGTTTTTGAACTCTGCTGCTATTAATCGAGACGCCATCGGAGCATGCAATGCTTCGCAAAAACGCTGCTGAATGGGTAGGGCAAACGTCCAACATCAAACCGGAATAATGAAGTAATTCGGCAAGAAGTACAAAAGCCAACCATCATCAAGATGGCAGCTTATTAAGGCAGATTTCAGGACAGAGAATCGTGGCAGCGACATTTTCACAGGATCATCGCGTGACATCAGTACCCAACGGCGGAGTAGGCAGACTGGAGACCTAACGCGGGGCAACGCAAGAGGGACGAGCCGGAGAATTTCATTAAAAACGCAAGAAACGTTAAATGAAGATGAGGAGGGTACCCAGCGTCTGCGATCAAAGGGTAACGCCGGGGTCATTGCACTATGAAGCGAACAATCCAGACGTACACACAGCACGAATGTGTAGGCTGGCAATCGATTCCAACGACAACATTTCTTGGCTTATCCCTCCCGGGCTCAAATCCCACGACACACTTGCGCTCTGAGACTTCTGCCTTGGCTCCGAAGTACACTCTTCCAACATTTCCTACTTCAACATGATTCTATCAAGTTTCGAACCAAGGAACACAACCTTCCTTCCCCAGTACAAGCCAGTTTTCTTTCTCAATAATGGGCTAAGAACTAAGTTGCGGCATTTACAACATTCGAAATGGGCGCAGTACGATGGAAGAAATCAAGTGAGAAAAAGCCCATGCCGACAAAAACCCTAAAATGCGAAAAGCACCTAGCAAATTCTTGCGAAATTATTCCCTTCATTCTTCAATTTTTTCTGAAAATTTTCGCGAATTTCTGACGAAACCTTGTAATAATCGTGATATTTAAAATGCAAATATTCCAAATATCTTATGGACGTACTGTACTGTTTCGTGCGCGTATCACTTCGAAGAAAAAATGTTCCTGCGGTCTATATTTTTTCTTTAAAAATTAAAGATCAAGTTGTGTCGTACAATCCAGTATTGATGGGGGCAAATGAAAAATTTTTCTCGCACTACGCGATTTTTACGAGAATGCTCAAGTTAATATCACAGACGTTAACGCTCAGGAAAAATCAAAAGCTATACCGGAGTAGGAACTTGTTCATCCATGCGATAAGCTAAAAACGATGAACTATCGAACTTGAACCAAGAGATACATAACCCAAAATCGCGGATTGAGAAAAGCCGAAATGAAGCGGAGTCATACCATTCAATGACGATTTGGTAGAAAGCGATAAGAACAAAACTGAAGCGGGAAAGAATCGGAACTTTTTTTCTTTCTATCGTAATACGGCTTGCTATCAGCCTGCGTCTGAGGAAGACAGTACCATGATCTGAATGGGAATCATGACGTGAACGAGTTACGAGAAGTACGACGGCCTCCGCGAGGGTAATAACAGGACTGTACTCCGGTACTGAAGCGCACCACACGTTTTTCCCAAGCTGTCGGCCGAAGAACAGCGCACACACTGTTGCGATTCCTGCAGAGGTCACGGAAGGATTGGTAGGTACAGCATAATTTGAAGGAAGTTTTTTCTTCCCTGCGTGTGATGTCCAATTGATTGTTCCACGATTAACAGATGGGTAGTGTTTTTGTGAGGAAATTCGAAAGAAAAAAACCGAAGGACTGTACCCGGAACCTATCACGAACAGAGGAATGAACGTCGCCTCTTACCTTTGATAAATTAGAATCCAAGATGTAGGATAGGAAAATTCGAAAGTATTGCATAAATTTCAATAATGGTTCCGTAAATGCAAGCCTTGAGATTCCAGTGGTACCTCATCCAAATCCGGGACTTTTCATTTTATTCAAAAACCTTGGAACTTGGAGGACATACTGTTCTGTTCAATTAATTGTAAATGTAAGAAAACGTCTTCACAATGAGTCGGTGTAGTAGATTTGCAAGCTTTCTAAATTAACCATCTCAGCTTAACCTGTCCGGGTAAAGTGCATCTCTTCAAAATTCAGACACATTACGTTGCTAATTTTTCGCACATACAAGTACAGCAAGTTTAAAAATTCAAGAGCTGTCGAAAACGTGAAGCCACGGAAATTCCAAATTAAAAAATCGTATACACAGAAATTCATTTTTTTTCTGACACAAACATCACTGGTTCCCCAATGGAAAACAAAATACTGTAGTTCCCGGAAATCTTGCGGTCGTATTTTAGCACGAACTACAGTATTCAATATTGGCGGAATATCGCATTATTCACAGCAGGAGAAACACGTTTTTCACTACATTGTCATGAGAAAGTGCACTTTATAGTCATACGCGTACGACACAGTCACGGCTTTGAGGCAAAGTGAATCGGATGAAACACTGAATTGAAAAGTTGGATACAAGATGGCCGCTGGGAAGAGAGAGAGAGATGGGGGGGGGGGAAGAGACGCATGCGAAGGAAAATAATAATCACCGAAAACACGAGGGACCACACAATGAATGAGCGCATAGATCTGCGGAACATTAGGAAATGAAGCCCGGAGGGAGCGCGCGCCAGACTACAAGTTTGAAAACGCGACGCCGGGAGAGGGCCGGTGTAGCAGTCAGCTTTGTTCGGCGTCCGGATCGTCCGCCTATATTTTTGGGACCGTCAGGCTGTCCTGCGTCAATCACGGTAGTCTGGGGGGCCGGTCATGAGTGTCCGGGATGGTCTCAGGAGCCAACGCTAGCAGGCTGTACTATGCGAAAACTGATACGAAGTGTCTACCATTTAACTTTCTTGTAAAAATAAAACGACACTCGATAAACTTCCCGCATACGCCCAATCGCAATTTCCATTCTTAAGAATGCAGTACAAAAAATTGAATATATTTTCAGATTGTATAACGTTGCGACTGGAAATTGACAGTTTTGCATTTATCATCTAGCCATAGGAAAATAATATTTCTGACTTAGCTAGAAACTAGAGGTCAGGAAGAGAGCTTCCAGAATGCTTGAAGCCATGCATAAATTAGATAATCTTTGAACAGATGTCAAGTCAACCTTCAGGAGAATGCACACAAGAAAAGAGAAAACTCACAGAGAAGTGCGGAAAATCACAATTTCAACTGCATGTGCCAATAATTTGGACATCACCCAACTGGAGTAACTTCTGGCAGATCTTCGTTCTCTAAAATGCAGAATTGTGCTGTACTTCCAACCCCAAATGAGGCTGAAATTGCAAGTTTTTGGAGCATTTCTATTGAAACGAATGGGAAGCAACCGGTTTTTCATCACCCCCAAGACCTTTTACCTCCACAATTAACTGTGACAACAGTACTCATTGTATCAAAATGTATGTGCTGTAACGTGATGTGGTTTCATTTACGTCAGCTGTCGCATACTTTGCATTCACCACTTAATAAAAACAAATATGTCCTCCAAGGATGAAGTCCTACTCTTTCCTTTACACCAGCCTCAACTGAATTCCCCTTACTGCATCTTAATTACAGAGGAAAGCAGATTGAGGATGCTCCTACTGGATAAGCTCGCACCTCGTAGATGAATTATTCGAATCCTGTAAGATTTGATTTTTCTCTTTCGTCAAAAAATAACCTTGCTGCGATCAACATAGGCCTGACTGTCCCAACCAGCCAGGCGAATTCAGCCGTCCAGTCCCTGGCGAGTACTCATACACCGCTTGGAATGGAAGTTGGGAACCGCGTGGGGGAAAAAACTCGTTTTGAGAGCGTGAGAGGGTTGGAATTTTGGGTCTGTTCCTAAGCCGGGGAGGGTGACGAAAAATTTATCCTTCTCTCCCAAAATTTCGTAGACCATGAACACAAAACGCGGGCCCCGCACGGCGGAAAATCGCAAGTTTACAAGCCAATTTATTGATCCGCGTCGCCAGACCTTCCTTCTCCTCCACTTCTCCAATCCCCACGCTTCTTTTATTTTATCCTCGCTGTCCCTCACACACACAATGAAGCTTGAGAACAAAGCGGCCGAGGGAAGCGAATTGCACCGAGATGTGCGTCATCAATAAAAAGTTTTTCTCCGTTCCACGTTTTCATTTCCGCACCTATATGTCTGTGTGTGTTTACCACAAGGTTTTTGTGAGTGTGTGTGTGAGTCCCTCTCTCTTTTGTTTCTCTGGTGGAATTCGACCGGCTCCCTCCCTCTCTCTCCCCCTTCGTACCACTCCCCTTCCTTCTCATGTGATTTGTTTTACGTCGACTCATCAAAGTTTCAACTCGAAACCCACAATGAGGCGGGAACTCATACGGCTGTCAGCCATTTCTTAAAATATATGTAGAGCCCCTGTTGCAAGGCAAGAGTTCAAAGTCCTCTGCATTAACCATCCTTCAACTTCAGTCCAAACCAGTCCTTCTTTCATCGTCCATTCTTCCTTCTTTCCCGGGATAATTTCCCATCATTTCAGTATCTTCGTAAACAAAAACGCGGTAAACCGCTCGCTGCTTATGCACCATCCCAACATCCGCTTTCCCACATTCTACATCCAACGTTAATAACCAATAAAATGTACGCCCCCTTATTCTGTCTTCAACAACTTTCTTCGGCCTTCATTAACATCTCGGTGCACTGGAAAAAGAATTGGAAGCCGGCCAAAAGAATTTTTGACAGCAGAAGCCCTTCCCTAGTTTTTCTGACAGTTGTAAAAATACCCGTATTTACTCGAGACGCTTTTTTTTCAACTGGCTTAAACTAATCCGGATGAGTGCATCTTAGAATCACAGGTAAAGTCAATTTACTGCTTCTGGCTCAGACGGTCTCCCGAGGAATCACTTGATATAAAAATAGATTAAAATAAACATGGTATGAAACCCAATCGCACAAATTCATTGTCTCGATTTCAAGTTCAAATATACGAGAGTTTGGACAAGAACTGACCGAAGTACTGGGAGGAATTGAGCCCATAACCATGAAATAAAACGAGATCAACGATTCTTTCAAATCTAAAGAAAATTAACGAGATGAAAGTTAATCTCAAACTTTGCCGGCGGATTAGTAGAACATTTTCGAGTCAAATAACAGAGGTACTGTACTGGACCTACAAGAACCAAAGGCATTTTAACTGAGAATACAAAATTTACCGTATCTAGCCTGCAGCTCTCTGCTTGGTTTCAGGCAGACGACATTTGGAAATGAATTGAATAACTGGTTGCAAACTGCACATTATTTTGAAGTTTCAAGTCGCAACTTGAAACTTCAAAGATCTGTTTCAATACTTGAAACTCGCACACACAAACCTGTGATACATCGTAATTATATTGGCAGTACAGTCGAACTTCGAGGAAATAGCGGGACCATTCGAGTGAGGGAGGTTTTGAGTTAGCGCAACCACATTCCTATTGGGGGGGGGGGGAAGAAAAATGACAGGAAATTATAATTGGTGATATTCTGAGCCATAAATTGCTTCTAAAATGAGTTGACAGGATGCTGAATTTGGAGGCAAGGGTTCATTTACCCAATTAGTCTTCCACTTCCTTTCAAAACACATCAAATTACATGTTTATTGCTTTTCTCTTTCCTGCGTCAATAAAATGATAGCAAAAAACCCTAAAAAATGTATTGGAGCAATGGGAGTTCGGGGGATGGGAACC